ATTCTAATATGCTGATTTATGATCAGTGCTGGAAACTGTTGTGCTGCTTAATATTTTTTTGGAACCTGTGATACTTTTTTTCAGGATTCTTTGATGAATAAAAAAAAAGTTAAAAAGAAGAGCATTTCTTTAAAATAGAAATTTTTTCTAACAATATACACTACCATTCAAAAGTTCGGGGTCAGTAAATTTGTCTTTTTTCTTTTTTTGAAAGAAATTAAAACTTTTATTCAGCAAGGATGTGTTAAATTGATAAGAAGTGATAGCAAAGATTTATATTTTGAATAAATGCTTTCTTTTTATTCATCAAATAATCCTGAAAAAAAGTATAGCAGTTTCCAAACAAATATTTGGCAGCACAACTGTTGCCAACATTGATAATTCTAATAATAAATCAGCATATTAGAATGATTTCTGAAGGATCATGTGAGACTTTATACTGGAGTAATGGCTGATGAAAATTCAACTTTGCATCACAGAACTAAATTATATTTTAAAGGATATTAAAATAGAAACCATTCTTTTATATTGTAGTAACATTTTGCAAGATTACTGTTTTTTCTGTATTTTTGATCAAATAAATGCAGCCTTCATGAGCATTACAAGTCTTACTGATCCTAAACTTTTGAACGGTAGTGTATATATATATATATATATATATATATATACATATATATAAATAATTAAAGTATAATATATATTTCTCTGAAATGTAAACATACACACACACAAACACACAATATAAATTAATAAAAATATATATGTTTTATGATAAAATATATTTATCTGTCTCCAATACACTCTAAAAAATGCTGGGTTGTTTCAACCCAATTTTGGGTCAAATATGGACTAACCCACCCGTTGGGTTAAATTTTTACATTACATTTTTGTTAAATTGATAAGAAGTGATAGCAAAGATTTATATTTTGAATAAATGCTTTCTTTTTATTCATCAAATAATCCTGAAAAAAAGTATAGCAGTTTCCAAACAAATATTTGGCAGCACAACTGTTGCCAACATTGATAATTCTAATAATAAATCAGCATATTAGAATGATTTCTGAAGGATCATGTGAGACTTTATACTGGAGTAATGGCTGATGAAAATTCAACTTTGCATCACAGAACTAAATTATATTTTAAAGGATATTAAAATAGAAACCATTCTTTTATATTGTAGTAACATTTTGCAAGATTACTGTTTTTTCTGTATTTTTGATCAAATAAATGCAGCCTTCATGAGCATTTTGGGTCAAATATGGACTAACCCACCCGTTGGGTTAAATTTTTACATTAAATTTTTAACCCAAAAGTTGGGTTAGTCCATATTTGACCCAACGTTGGGTTGAAACAACCCAGCATTTTTTAGAGTGTAGCTGTTGTTCCAGCTAAATAAGGATAACAGCGTTTTTCTGAAATTAAACTCAATTTGGCTCCTTAAATTTATATTTTGGGTGGACAGAAACCCAGACACCTGCCCGAACATAGAAAATGCTACAGGAAATGCAATTCCTATCATGCAGTGTAAGCAATGCCAGTGTTCACCCAACAATAGAGTTCTTTTTTTACTTTTTGCCATACGTCTACATCAAACACACTGTAAACAACAGTTATCCTTTCTAGTCAAAATAGCAATCCTCTTCACACAGTGGAGAGAAAGGAAAGGTACAGATGTCCTTTGAGGCACTGTGTTAAGCAAATGTCACTCAAGTCATCTGGTTTAGTGAGTAACCCCCACCCACACAAGAGCTGTGAAAGTAAGCAGCCAATAGCCTAGAAGTACATAACTTTGTTCTGGGGTTTAATAAATAGTGATTTATAAATAAAATGTGTTGCATTAAGGTTTTCCTAAGTCTGTCCTCTCTATCAGCGTGATCTGACCTGTAATCACATTATAAAGACCCATTATAGTGAGGTAACTCAATCGTATTGGATAATGTGGAGATAAAGTAACTTACCATGAGTTCATGTTCAGTGCGATGGACTCCCAGCTTTTTCAGCCCGATGGTCAGATCGTTGACACAGATGCCCCCGTCTCTGTTGACATCCAAGATCTGGAAAAGCACCTTGAGCCGATGCTCCTGCTCGGGTCCGCCGCACACCGGGCAGTGATGCGGGGAGTCGCAGGACTCATCATGGCGGTGCTCGGAGACTGATGTTGCGGCGGCCAGCGTGGAGCCCATAGTCCCAAGAGTCCGGCCACCACCACCTCCCGGATCCGAGCCCTGATACTCCTCCGAGCGGCACTGGCAGAAAACACCACTGAGCAACGGAGACACGAACGATCCCCGCTCATGCATGTCACTGAACTCCAGACTACTGGTTGGTAAAGCAGTTTAAACTAAAGTCAGTGAGCGTGAGCCAGCCGATCACGGTGCCTGTTTTCAGTCAAGATGCGTGCCAGATGTGCATTGAGATAAGTTTCCAAATACGTCTACTGAGTTATCCATTATCTTTTGAGCCTCTTTACTTCAGCAATCGGTGTGATATGTTTTGGAGTAAGGTTCAGAATTGATCCCTCATTCACTCGCTATAGCGGCATTCAGAGCTCCGGGTCATAGTGATGAGCTGGAAGGATGTCCCAGTGTTACTCCTCCGGGGTTTCTGTATATCAAAAAAGCGCAGGCAAATCGGCGTATTCCGACATATACATCGCTTTGAATCTCGTTCCGGATATAAATCCTCGAGTTTGTGAATTTCCAATGGTAATGCGGTGTGAATGACAGCGGCTGCAACGAGAATGCCGGTAGCGGACCGGTAGGGCGGGCGGATCTCGTGTTCGACGGGAAATGAGTAACTGGACTGAAGTGGGCGGGGCCAACGATGTCAGTGATGGACACATGCAGTTACCAATTACTTTAATCCAAGTTGTCTTTTCGTCACGTCCCGATAATTCTGGTCCTTTCCACTCTATTATAATTCATAAAAATACTAATAATTGTAATTATCGGTAGTAGCAACTTAGCATTATACATTTATGCATGTATGTGTGCAAGTTAAGGCTTGTGTATGTCAGACAATTAAATGCAGTTAAATTCTACACGTGTACCCTACTATTAAATAAGCCAGTATGTAAATATTGTCATATCGTTAGTACAGTTAAACCTGTTTGTCCCTCACTGTCCTCCTCACAGTAATCACATTCAAAAATTTACTTAAGAGAGACACCTGCTGGGGAAATCATAGAGTGCAGTTTTCTGCTCTTCAAATGAGGATTTATGTTCTTTAAAAGGCATTTAACCGATTAATAATACAAAAGCAGCCATATCAGCCATATCACCCTGCAGCCCAAGACTGGTTGCCCACTGAAGCAAAGCAGGGTTGAGCCTGGTCAGTACCTCTCTGTGGTCATTAAAAATCCCAGGATGTCCTTCGAAAAAGAGTACACTCTAAAAAATGCTGGTTTAAATATAACCCAGCGCTGGGTTAAACAGGGACAAACCCAGCTATTGGGTTGTTTTGACCCAGCGGTTGGGTTCAACCAACCGCTGGGTCAAAACCTCTGGGTCAAAACAACCCAATAGCTGGGTTTGTCCCTGTTTAACCCAGCGCTGGGTTATATTTAAACCAGCATTTTTTAGAGTGTAGGGGTGTAAACCTGGCATCCTGGCCAAATTTGCCCATTGGCCTCTGACCATCATAGCCTCCTAACCATCCCCATATCTGCTGATTGGCTTCATCACTCAGTCTCCTCTCCACCAATAAGCTGGTGTGTGGTGGGCGTTCTGGCGCAATATGGCTGCCGTCGCATCATCCAGGTGGATGCTGCACTGGTGGTGGTTGAAGAGATTCCCCCTTTCTATGTAAAGTGCTTTGAGTGCCTAGAAAAGCGCTATATAAATGTAAGGAATTATTATTAAAAGCAAACTGTGATATTACAAGCAGCTTGAAAGTTAACTTCCATGCAAGTTACAGGAATTAAATAATCCCATTGTGGGAAAGGCTGCACATTTGTTGCCTCAGTAGACCTACTGTGTAGAGTAGACAGGGCAATAATTTAGCGCTGACTCAATGACTTACACAGAGCTTGTCTGTTCCTGTCTTCACCAAACTATATACTGTACTAATGAAATGATTAGTCCTGTATCTCCACAGTGAGAATTGCTTTGTGTGTCTTCCCTTGTGAACTCATTAAACTGGTGTACTAAATCACATACTTTAATATTTTGGCCATGCAGCAACGAACAATCCCTGCAATTGAGCTGAATAACAAACAAAAAAAAGCTGTCTTGTATTTTTTTCATTGTTCTGCAATAGCCAAGTTTCCTCTCAGCCTGCAGTGACCTTACAAGTTGTTATCAAGTTCCTCTCAGCATCTATGGTGGTGGTTCCAGCTCAGCATAAAGATGTTTCATTTGCACATTGAATTGCCCTTCAAAATGTTAATATCACATCTCACCTTTATACACAAAACCTCTAAAATATGGTTACAATTTAAAAAAAAAAATAATGATGCGCCTATGAAGGTTTTTATGTTCTTAAGGAACAAAGGTCATATGTCTACATTTTGGCACATTTATTTATAATGCACATTAATGAACATCAGTATAAAAATACAAATGTGAACATGCTGCATTATAACAACATCACAAATTTACATGCCTAGCAGGTAACACAAAGACATCACAACAGTAAAGCAAATATAAATATATTACATTATAATTACAAGTACACCATACTCGAACAAAACATTGTGCACATAACAAATTAAAAGTAACCACAAATTAGATTTGCCTTGAGACACTTTTAAAGACACTGGTAAATCTTAAAAATACAAAAATAATATAATAATAATGTGTTCGTTATGAGTTCACTACTGCTAGAATAGCCAAGTGTCTTAATTTTTTTCTTTTTTGAAATGAATCCATTTTTTTAACAACAAAAAAAAGAAACATAAAATGAGCTACCTACAAAGCAAAAAAATTAATATATGATTAAGAAGTCTTTAACATTGGTTGAAGTATACTAATGATTTACATGCTATTATATTCTACTTCCAGTCTACCTTTGACTCAACGCTAAACAGTTGATACGATTTACATCTAGTTAGTCATTCTATTGTGGGTCGCTTTCTAATTTGTTCCGTCCAGTGATTTCTGTCCTGGCTGCCATGTGAAAACTGTTCATCGACGTAAGTACGTTATTCAAATGTCTATTCAAATTTTCAGTTACGACATTGGAAATAACAGGCGACTACTTTCGATTATTAGAGAGAAAAGTCAAGATGATGGTCATTTCGCTAGATATTGTCATTAATTCTCAAAAAAAACATACTACATGTTTCCTTGGTTATATGCCAGTGGTTACCAGAGATCTTTACACCTGGATATAATAGACTTCTTCAAGCTAAACTAACTCTCCAGGGAATGTTTGCTTTTCAGTAGAGACTGTAGCCTTCTCACTTTGCCGTCCCTTTATTGGTTTTAAGGTAAGTTATGATATACGTTTTAGTGTTTACTTGGTATAGTTTCCGTCTGACCCGTGTAAGTGTGATGTTAGTTTTTATTTAATTTAATTGCTTGTTTATTTTTTCTCTCCCCTGCCACTCTGTGTTCCTCTGGACATCCTCAGTCTTCTCAGAGATGCTGAGCCAAAGCACATGCATTGAGATTGAGAAGGACTTCCAAGCACCAGATTAAAAAGCTGCAACCACCTCCCTGTCTTCATCTACCTCTGCCTTCAAACATCCAAAGTCCAGTCTCAAAAGAGTATGGCGTTTTTAATTAAAAAGAAGAAGTTCAGGTTTCAGATACACTTCACCCTGGAGGAGCTCACGGCTGTGCCGTTTGTGAATGGGATGCTCTTCTGCAAAATCAGACTGTTGGATGGTGGAGACTTTTCCAATTCTTCATCCAGGTAAGATTTGGGATTCTCTCTGACTGTATTGGGCCATGGTAATCATGGTTTCTGCCAAATAAAATAGTTGCTGGGGCAGTGGGGCAGTTGCTTGTTGTTGTCTCACTCAAGTTTGTGACACTATAACAAATTCCTTGTATGTGCAAACATACTTGGCAATAAAGCTCATTCTGATTCTGATTCTAAAGCTGTGGTAACATTTTCTATTAGTCTCCACTTTTATAAAAATGCAAATTACTGTAAATTCTGAATTTACACTCATTTCACTAACTGTGGCAACTGGTGATATTTTGGATTAACTGTGAATAAAAAATGCTCTGATTGTTGATGAATGATGGTAGGCATTGAAAAATGTTCTGTAGAGCTCTAGGATGGGTGGAAAGTCATTATTTGTGTATATTATTATAGATTTAGCTGTTGTCTTTGGCATAGGTTTCATTAAGAGCACTTGTTCAGACCTTCAGTTTTTGCTCAGCCCGGCCTGTAGCACTGAACAATTTTTGAGCCCATTTAAAATGCACTTAGAAGACCACACAGGTTGCTTTAGGGGTCTCACTCACATCAAAAGTGAAGACATTTTTTAAGGGTCAGGGTCAAACCACTGCCATTCTTTAAATTGTTTACACAGGTAAAGGTTGTGCTCTTTTAATCACTGCACACAGACGGCCTGAATTGTGCAATAATATCAATTTTCATGATTTCTTTTGTTCGTGACTAATTCTAAACATTTCTGCACTTGGACTTTGGTTTAAGATATTAGCACACAGATGTCAGCAGTATGGTTGTTTATAAATAGAGGCTTAAGCCCTTAGTGGGTTAGACTCACAGTTGGGGTAGTCTGATCAGTCTCAGGCCAATTAGAAGAATAAAGGTGCATTAGTAAATCTGAGTGAATCAGCAGTCGTATATGTTGACCAGCGGGTTATGATTCCAACATGTGAATTCCAAAATGACTTTTATTGTATGAATCTTGCATCTGATGTGTTCAGTGCAGTGTGTTGACATTTTTAAAATGTTTTACTTTATCCTGGACTTTGCGGCTGAGCCATGTGATATAGAATAGGGATGGTCACAATTAGATATAATCTTTTTGTTTTTATTTATTAAAAACTAGTGCGATATTTTCTAATATCGATCTTCTGCAAAGCTCTCTCTCTCTCTCTCTCTCTCTATATATATATATATGTATATGTACTTTTATTAATCAGGGATACATTCTATTGATTAAAACTGACAGTAAAAACATTTCTAATGGTAGAGAAGTTAATCACAGAATTTATCACAGTTTCTACAAAAATATTAAGCGGCACAGCTATTTTCAAATTTGATAATGAAAAGAAATGTTTCTTGAGCACTAAATCAGCATATTAGAATGTTTTTTAAAGGATAATGTAACACTGAAAACTGGATTAATGGCTCCTGAAAATTCAGCTTTGCCATCACAGGGACTAATTACTTTTTAAAATATATTAAAATGGAAAACAGGTATTTGAAAAGTGTAATCATATTTCACAATATTGCAGTTAAAATAGATTCAGCCTTTATTTATATAAAATAAAATTACATATAAAAAAATAAAATATGTATTTTTACATAGTTAGATTTTTTAATAATAAAATGTCACCAAATTACAGTGTTTAGTTGATTAGTGGTACAGATCAGATAATCCATCTAGTCAATTTCTACATTGCTGAACTTGAAAAACTAACACAGTTTCCTTCACAGAGAGCACAAGAAAGAGCAACTCTAGAGGCCAAAAATGTGCCAGTCTATTTGAAGTTGTCTTGTGTTGTGAAGTTGTTTTAGTGGCATATGACTTGGGGGTGGTATATTGTGTGGGCGCATTGACTTGCTAGTGGTACCAGGCACAGAGAGTGCCCTCGTTCTGGTGCTCCGCATTTATTCTGCACAATGCCCTGTGTATCTGACATGAGGAGGTAGAAGAGGGTTATCTCATAAATGTCCCAACACCACCATTCCTCAGATGGACTGATAGAGAAATTTGATTGCATCGATAGCAGGAACAGTGCGTGTAGTAATTTCAAGGAATAGAAAGTGAAAAGACAAGAGAAAGATAGGAACTAAAAATGGAATTCAAGATTGATAAGAGGAGTAATGCACGAAGAAGAAAAAGAAGGTGAGAGAGAATGCGAAAAACAGGACAGAGACTTCAGTGATGGTCCAAACAGAGAGCCATTTGTCTGACCAAGCCGCGGTACTGTTTCCCTCTGCCCTCCTCTCCTCGCTCATTATTTTCTCTCTTTCTCTCACACGTTTCTTCTTCCTTCTGTCCTTTTTATCAGTGTGGATTGAGTTCATGCAGCACTTGATTGACAAGAGTAAGCTCTCCGAGTCATGGCAGCCCAAGGATGCCCCATATTATTACTAGAATCAGTAGCATCAGTATCATTAAGATCTTGCATCTTTAAGCTGATCTCAGACTCGTTCTGCAGCTTTTCCACGGTTCAGTTTTGCATAAGGTATGGATGAAATTGGATCAACGTGATGATAAAACTTTGTGAGCTGGTTGATGAGGATGTGGACACAGAAGTCATTAGTTTCCAGGGGCTGTCCAGGCTTGCTGAGAGGACAGAGGGCAGTGAAGCTTGAAGGAAGAGAGAGTGCTGATAGGGCTGCTTTTTAATGGTTGGCCTGCGCAGAGGTGGGCGCATGCAGTTATAGGTCCCATTCAGACATTCACAGTCATGATACGTGAAATACATCAACTGATGTAATCCGTTATCACTGCCACTGGCTGGCCATCTTTTTTTTTTTTTGGTGCTTCTTGTTTGCGATTAGCATTCAAACCCTAAAGGATCTTGCTGAAAGATTGTAAACTGAGTTATATATCATTCTTTTCCTAAGGTGGATCATTATTGTGGTAGAGGTTATCCAGAAGCAGCGGTTGCTAAGGAAACTGTAGTGTGTGCACACGTGCCCTAGTCTCAGTTTTTGATGAAATTGCTCTGTAATTGTAATCATTACAATGATGCTCATCTCTCTTCCTTCCTGTTCTGTTCCTCTGCCTTCCACAGACGATAAATACTAAGCAGCTGTGTGCTTTTGATTCACACGGGTTTATTTCTGCACAAGCTTTAAGGCCTAAGCTAAATAACTATAATGATAACTGTAGCTACAAAGTTTAAGTAAACATTCTAATTCTATGAGAATGGGGAAGTCCGCACCAGACCATTCAGCCAATAATAACCACACCTGTCTGACCAATTAGCAGAAGTTGTCTATTTCCTTAATGGATAATAATAATACAAATTTTTTTTTGAGTAAATATTATATAGAATATTGCAAAAATTCTGAAATTAAGCGCTGAACAAAATATGTACTCAAAATTGTATCAAATAAAATATGCATGATTCATTATCCATAAAGGAAATTACACAAATTCTGTCCAATAAAACTCTCTATTTACAAAAGATGTCAAATAAATGATGTTCTTGTGAAGAATCCTGGGGAAAAATCCTAGTTTCTACAAAAATGTTTTTTGTAGAACATTTTCTACAAAATTGTTTTCAGCACAATTGTTTTCAACATTGATAATATGAGTTTTTCTTGAACACCAAATCAGCATGTCATCTCAGAATGATTTGCGAAGGTTTATGTGACACTGAAGACTGGAGTGGTTGAATTTTCAGTGGCTGCTGCAAATTCAGCTTTAAAAATCTTTTCAAAACCTTTCAATGGTAGTATACACATGCTGGATATATGTAGACATTGACCTTAATGTGTAGATATTGGCATCATTCACTGAAAAAATCAAATCATTGACCACTACATTATAAAGCCGTTTTTGTTATATTTAATCTTTTGGTGCTGATTGATGTTCTTAAATGAACAAAGAGAAAGCTGAAGGAAGAAAGGGGATCCAGTTTCTCTCTGCTCAATGTGTGTTATTGGGACCATGTCGGCTTTGATAAATCGAGCAGAACCTCATTCTTGAGATTCCACTGGAAGAGTTACACCCCGGAACAGATACACTGGCTATGCTAAAGGACAATGTGAGATTATGAAAATAAATCATTCTCTTTTTTCATTGCCTACTACAACCCATTCATGTGATTCATGGCTGTTTGTGTTCGGTATTTTAGCAACAAGGTATCAAACGAAACCTTTGAAAATACAGTACTCACAAACACATCCACAATGATCGCTACAGCCATGCACATGTTTAATGAGCATGTAAGTTAAGATGAAAGGTAGTGAATTATTATTTTGTGGATCATCTTTTATGGTTAAATTAAAACTAGAGCCAATAAACAGAGTAGGCTGTAATATGGTTATTATGGTTATGGTATGGTGTTTCTGGCTTTCTCATACACTCAGAGACACATTAATGTCAATTCTATATTTATGTCATATATTATACATCTTATCTGAAACTCCAGATGCAGTCCATTCATACACATAGGGCATAATAGTTGAAATGAGGCTCTTATCTCTCTCCCACAATGCATCACAATTTATGTCTTCGCTCCCTGGGTTTATTTTTTTCTCCCCTGCTTGTCTTATTTCTTTTTTTCACAGACATAAATCAGTCCATAAGATAGGTATCAGGGTGTTTCAGAGTTCAGGAGTTCAATTCTTACTGTGACTCTGACTGTGCACACCATAAGGTTGCTAGTTCAGTTCATGGCATGTTCTGTTGGCTTGCTTATGCAGCAGAAGCGGGCAGAGGGACAAGGGTCTCATCCCATACTGGCCGTCGTGTTTTTGGGCTACAACAGCTCAATGAGATTAGCAGCTGAGTCTCAGCAGTGCACCTGCTCTCAGCGTGGACAGACTGAGGCTCCTAAACCACCTCCTGTAAACACTTCATGAGACAGATTGCTGTGAATCAAACAGATGCAGGTATACAGTTGGTGTGTCTTGCATGTACTGTAAACAACTGGACTTTGCACCGTCTGACCTTCTTTTGACATCAGCTACTGTGTCCTAGTGATCCATTAGTCAATTATTAGTGGTGCTTGCTGTTACACATCCAAACT